CAGCCATGGTTCCTCCCATTTCTCTGCCTAAGCTGGTTCCAAGACCCCTGTGATTGGGAACAGGGGAATATATGGTGTCAGTCCCCAGGATCACAGTGCAGGTTTAGTGACAGCGGGCTCAACATCAGCACAGCAGGTCTGTAACTGCACCCAGCAGAGCACAGGGCAAGAAAAGGGCTTCAGCTCCCTGTTCTTGCCTCCAGCTAAAGAACTAGTGAAAAAGAGATCCTAACAAAAAGATCTAAGTCCAAAACAAGTGGAAAATACAAGGCCTCAGTTGTGATCAGGAGCCCAACACAGTGTACACAGAGACAGTATTTCCAAGAGGATCTTGACTTCAGTGCAACCATTTAATATTAGCCAATATTTCCACGCTGCCCCGTCTCCTTCCCATCTGTTCATGCCACTTATTAAACCAACACACACTGAGGACTGCTGACCTTTAGGACAAGGAGTTTGATTTCTCAGCAGTGTCCAGCACTCAGAGCTTCAGTTTCAGACTGAACTGAGTGCCCAGGCACCTTTAAAGGAGTGACATTTTCACAGGCATGTAAATGTGCACACAGCAACAAGGCAATGGCCAAGCTGGCAAGGAGACCCAGCGCTGCTTTGGGCTACGTGGGAAGCAATGCTCCCCCTTCATACAAACAGACAATAAACTGAAGTGTAGCAGAACAAGGATCCTGTTGTCCAAGCCCACCCCAGGCCCTGGATGAGAACAGGACAGGGTGTTACACGCAAACATACAGAAATACTGCAAATGCAATACAGCCTTGGTTTTGGATCAGATGTGCACCTGGCAGGACTTGGACTGAGTATGGGGTCAAACACAAGTTTAGGTCTCAAAAATTCTTATGAGGGCTGTTGAAAAAGGAATGTTTGAGTAAGATTGTCCCCTGCTCCCAGGGTATCTTCAGAGAAAAGTAGCCATGTGTTCAGACTTGGCTTTAACTCTGAAATCAACAATTTTTTCTGCATGACCCTCAGCAAGTCACTTTGACTTTTTGCCATTAAGTCATGTTTACAGTGAACATTTTCCTATTTACAGTAAAATACAGATGGCAATTGTGTGTCCTTTCATAACCTGTTTATGGTATGAGCTCTCGATGTCCAGTTGTGCAGTGACACAGGCCATTTCAGCAAGATGCCTCATGGCTTTTTTCCTTCCACTCATCCCACCCCTGCCATATCAAATGGCGGATACGAGTGCCTGGCAAAGCGTTCAGGCTCTGCTTGAATCAGACCTTGTTAAAAGCCTTCATTAAACAGACAGATGTTTCTCTTTTGAAATTGAGCACTGTGGCACAATGCAATCATCGTTCTCAGTTATGACGAGACAGAAAGAGGTTAGAAAGACCACAAACAGAACAGAGGCCCACACAAATCACCTTTTGTCATGTTCAGTAACATTTGGTAAAGAGTTTAAAACAACTAGCTTTTATTTCAGTCTTTAAGTCAGCACGCTAAAGCTAAAGACCACACACACAGCATGCAAGCTTTACTAGCTAACCTGTACCTCTCTCCAGATGAGAGTAAATGGGGGCAAAAACACACACAAAAAAAAGCTTTGTGGTCTGTGTGGTGATAGACCAGCAAAGCAAGAGATCGATTTGCTAGCGCTACCTGTGGGTGACAAGAAAAAAACTTGTACTTCAGGCTTGTCTTTAACACAATCACTCGCTTGGTGGGAGGGGGATAGAGAGTGGGGGAAGTACATCCTACGGACAACTGCCAGCATAGAAAAAATAAATGCAGTCATTTGTGCTGATCCAAGCCACGTTTAAAATGCCTTATCCAAAAAGGGCGTTTTAAGTATTAGCTGCATAGAGCATACTCCTCCCTTTACCAGGTCCAGCATTTCGGGCAGCCCCTGCTCAAACATGCTGCAGTGAGCACCACCTCTTCATCCCTCCTTCCAGGGCAACTCAGCCACCACAGCAGTGCCGTCAGGGTGGGTCCCACTCAGCAGAGAACAGGACAGCACCACCATGAATCAAGGTGGATATGAGGCATCAGTCCTCAACTGCATTTATTTATCCACAAGAATTGCCATTCAAGTGACACGCAGTTTGCAGCTCCACACCACACACGCAGAGGAATAAAGAAAAAAAAAAGAAAGAAAAAAAGGAAGAGATGATGCAGCCTTTTAACAGTCATCCAACAACACTGTTCCAGAAAGGTGCTCACACAGTCCCCGCTACTTTATCGCCAGCAGTCACAGAATGGTCATGCACCCAAAAGTACCCGCTAAATTATGTGGAGCTGACATCGTTTGTGTATTTGTAAAGGCAGAATAACGCACGCAGAGCGCACAAAGCAAAGGAGAAGGAGGGCTGGATGCGAAGCGAGTCTATATAGTGCCATCACCCTACCAAACCCTGCAACTGCCGAGAGCTCGGCGCCCGCTCTGCGGCTGCAGGAGGGACGAGCCGGCCCGGCCGCGGCCCGGCGGTGCCCCGGGGCAGGGCAGGGCAGAGCTGCACGGCGGGCACGGCGCCCGGCCACCCTCCCGAGGGAACGCTCCCTGCCCGCGGCGGGCGGCTGGAGAAGGATCTCTGCCCTTGAAGCGGAGCGGGCAGCGCTTTCCCGCAATGCAGCACCGGGATGCTGCGGGGAGCGCTCCTGCTCCGCCCGGCCCGCGGGGACACGGGCGCCGCAGGGACACACGGCTCTACCGCGACCCTCGCGGGGCTGCCCGGCGGGTCGGCCGAGCTCAGGAGCAGCCGGGGATGCCGGGACGCTACGGCTCCGTTAAAGCGCGGGGCCCGCAGGCGGCGCGGCAGCGGGGACGGCGACAGCGCGGCTCGCATGGGCAGCGCCGCAATGGGCGGGCCGAAGCGCACCGGCCGGCGCCTGCTCAGCGGCTGCTGCGGGGCACCCGACCCGTATCGCGGCGGCGAGGGGCTGAGGAAGGCCCGCCGCCGCCCCGGGAGGAGGCGCCGGTGCGCGGGGTCCCGTTCCTACCTGCCGCCGCCGGGCGCCGGTGCTCCCGCCGCCATCTCATACCTGCCGCTCCGCCTGCCCATTGGTCCGCCGCGCCTCCCCCTCGGCCCCGCCCCTCGCGCGACCCGCGGCGCCATTGGCTGCGGCCGGCACCGCCCCGCCGCGATTGGCCGGTTCGAACGGGCAACTGCCGGTCCGCGCGCACGGCGGCGAAAACGGCCGCCCGTGGCGCGCGCGGCGCGCTGGGAGTTGTAGGCCGGCGGTGTAAGAGGCTGTGAGCGCCCCGGCACCCTGAGCCCTCGCTGAGCACCAGGGCACAAACCACTGCCCTTTCATTGCAAGGAAACTTACAATGCGACTGACGTACCCCGAGCCTGCAGAGCCCATGCCAAGCGTTCCAAATAGCATAGTTACACCATAACCCCCAACTCACAACTTGCTCTTCATCAAGAAGTCAGAGAACACAGGTGCTAGAAGAGCAGTTTTATTCCCTCTTTTTTTTCCCCTTTGTGGGTGGAAGCACCTGCCTTGCCCCCAGCCAGGGTCCCTGCACACTTGCTGCACTCAGTGTTCAGGTAGCAACCACGGGAAGACAACTTAGGAACAAGTGAAACTGTAGATCAGAGTGCTGAGGGGACCAGGAACTAATCTGGTATTTCTTTAATTGACTAGGTTTTAGCTGGAGTGGTCCCTTGGCGTTTTAAGCCTCCACACTTAATTATCCTGCTGCCAATCATTTCAGCTTAAACACCAAAGTTCTGCTGTTCCCAGAAGGGTTTTCCCATCCCTGCACCTTAGTGTGTGACAGATCCCAACTTTGAGCTGGGGAACCCAAAAATGTACTGCGGTGTTCTTGGAGGAGGTGGTGGTACATCTGGATGTTGCACGGGCACAGGCCCCTGGGGCACATCTGTCCCTCGCAGGGGCATACCACTGTGGACATAATCCAAGGAGACAGCTAGTGATGTTTTCATCTTCTTCCTCATTTTGAGCCTTAAGACTCAGGGTAGGTATCAGTAACTAACCCAGCCCGTACAAGGACCACCCAGCCAGCACTGGGGGAAGCCTGTTAGTCCTGCCAGCCTCTTCTCAAGGGTGCTCAGCACACCTGCAGCCCACAACGTGGAGAACTCCCCATTTGCAGCGGTATCTGCAAGGTAAGAGCCCGTTGTGGCAACGTCTTGCACAAGTGTAGCTAAACAGTGGTATACTGTTGGTGCCCGCTGTAGCCTGTGGGAAGGAGGTGCATGGTTTAATGGCATGCTGGGTGCAGAAATAGCTTTCAGCCACCTCCCAGCTTGAGCAGCAAAAGCCAAGCATCACTCTAGGTCCTCGTCTTGTGCTCCTCTGTGAATAACTGTGAAATATTTGTGTCAGGTAGTTGCTGGAGGCAGGACCCACATCACCCCTCACCCTGCCCCATAACAGAGAGCTGTGCTCAGGCTCCTGAGGGCCCGCAAGGCACAGCTCTGCTCCCTGCCAGGGATAGCTGCTGGTGGGGAGCAGGCTTGACTCGCAGCCAGCCTTCCCAGGCACGATGATGTTTCCTCTCCGAGGGCTTCCATTGCATTACATGATTAATTAGCCGATTAACAAGATGTTGTTGCAGAAGAATCTGTTCTCTGGACACCAGCTCAGGCGAACACCATCCTCTGTGCTAATGAAACTCTTCTGTTCCAGGCAGGCATGCACTAATTTAAGCAACAACATGCAAATGAAGAACAATACAGTGAGTAATCTGGAGCTCTTAAATGAATTAGCTACAGCCTTCTCCAGGCAGTCTCCAAGGAGAGTAGAGAAAGCAGGAAGACAGACAGCTCTGGTGGGCCTGCAGCCACAGGTCACAGGTGTGGGGGGCTCAGAAGATGACTGCTGCCTGTCTGCCCCTGTCCTGCAGGGGGAGGGAGAGCATCAGGCCTAGGCTGCAGGCACCAGAGGAAGATGGATGTAGCTCCAGCTGACTGAACACGGTCAGGAGGTACTGCTGGAGACACGTGTCCCATAGGCCAGGCTGTGAGCTCCCATCTGGCAGAATTAGAGCAGCAGCACCTCAACATGGTCCTGAGGCTCAAGGGTCCAAGTGAGAGGCCTGGGTAGGAAAGCATGAAGGGGACAATACTCCTGACAAGGCAGCGCCAATATCAGAACAAGAGCTCCTCCTCCATCTCCAGGCTTTTAAAAGGATCTTGGGAAAAAAAAAAAAAAAAGGAAAAAAAAGACAGCACATAAAAAACCCACAAAACTGGATTTGCAGCCTCCAGGAAGAAGCCTACAGTAAGAGGCTGAACAAGCACAATCCCTTTAGCTTATTAGAGAACTGAGAAGCGTTGCAATTCCAGCATGTAAGCTGCCACAATAGGAAATTACAAAGCATTGAAGGCTTTTTTAGTACAGAAGAGGAAAGGAACGCCAGCATATGTTCCTTGTAGTGCAAGCAATGGGACCCGTATCCACTACCCTCAGCTCCATTCTGTTCAGCAGCTTTGGCCAAACAGCATCTTCTGGGCTCAGTGCAGATGTAGCTGGGCCAAACAAAATGCTCAGTCCAATGTGAGAAGGCTGGGCAGCTAAAAAGGTCCAGGATTATTTGCACTCCTCAGATCTAGCTGGCAGGAGGTGGTCAGAGCAGAGGAAAGGGTATCTCAGCTCTTACATGTAAGAGAAATGGCAAGACGTGGAGGTTTGCTGTAGCAGTTTTTCATCCAATTTGAAGAAATTTGCAGTTAAGTGTTCCTGCCCCACTATCATGCATGGCTGATATGAGAAAAGCTGAGGCAGAAAACACTGGCAGCCAAATGGCAGACACTTTCCCCATGGCACAGATTCCCTGGCCACAGTTTTACACAGAAGATCCTGCCAAGAGGGAGTTTGTAAAAGAAAGCTGGATGTAAGCAAAGGACTTCACCCTCTCTGGTTTCGTTCTTTGGCCAACTCCACACCCCAGCCACCACTGGCATGTGTGCCAGGGAGGCACAGGGCACAGGCACTGCCCCACTATTCTGTGCCACAGGACTGCTTCTGGCAGCTCCCAGGCAAGCCCAGTTAGGAGTGAGGCTCCAGGTCCTAAGCTGATGCTGGTGTGAGCCCTGTGGGATTCAGCGCTGCAAAAGCAGAAGGACCCACTGCACCAAGACAGCAGGCAGAGCACGGGTGTGCACAGCTCTGAAGAGAAGGAGAGGAGGAATCTGGGCTGGGTAGGAACAGTGGGTATTTATCAATATAAATTCTTTACACATTACTTGCTCTCACACACACACATCTGCACCAGGCAACCCAGCACTTCCTTCAGGCACAGGAAAGCATGGCTTGGGTCTTCAGTCCATAACATGATGGAGTGGCCTCCCAGGGAGTCTTAAACAAATGCAGGTCACCTTCTGCAGAGGAGTCCTGGCTGCTCCGCTCACAAATCCCCTGTCCTCCAGAGGCCACAGAGTGTTGTCTGTCGTTGGGTAGGGGCAGGTCAAGCACCTGAGGCTCCTCAGGAACGCTGGGACTTCACACGGTTCCTGCGGCCGGCCTTGGCCCCACGCTGGGCTCCCTTCATAAGGCCCTTGAACTGGCCCTGCATTTTTGCCCGCTTCCTGGAGGGAGCAAGGAACAGGAGACTGGGTTGGTGCAGGCACTGGGCACACCTAATGTGCAGGGATGCTCCAGGTTCTGCAAGCAGTGGCACAGAGGATGACAGGAAACTCCCAAGCCCACCAAAAAAACATAGCAACAAAAAGCCAATCCATTCCCATCTCTGTGCCCTTCCTGGTTAGTCTCACCTTCTGTTGAGTTTAGCTCTGTTCAGGGGGATGTAGGCATAGGGATCAAGCTGGCCCTTCTTCTTCACGTCGCCTTTACCTTTCTGTGGGAGACACTCACATGTGAGAAGATGCAAACGTCCTGTTCTGGTGCAACCCTGCCACCTGGCCATCCCAAAGACTATGATGCAGTCAGGTGCCAGCTAAGCTATCATCACCCATATGGTGCTACAGACACCTGCTTTGAGCACTGAGCACGAACTGTCCACAGCAAGGGCAGTACAGGAACTCCAAGATGGGCTGGCAATGTTAGAGATACTGTCTGGCAACTCCTCTTGGAGCAGAGATCCCCTTCCAGCCTTGGTGCTATAGAACCAGACTCCCAACAAACAAATGGTACTTCCTGTCCCACCAAAGCCCCAGGTATCCCCCCACCCGAACCCTGCAACCCCCTGGGTCCCTCACCTTGGATCTGTATTCTGCACCGAAGGCTGGCTCCTTGTTCAAAGGACGGTGGATCCCAGAGCCTCCAGCTAGAAAACAGAGACTGTATTAGAAGGGGGTTTCAGGGCTCCCCCTGCTCAGTTCAAGTTGTGGAGTCTCCTTCACTGGATATATTTCAGAACCATGTGGATGCAATCCTGTGCAATGTGCTCTAGGATGACCCTGTTTGGGCAGGGAGGTTGGACTAGATGACACAGTGTCATCCAGTGGTCCCTTCCAACCCAACCCATTCTGTTATCTCTGCTCCAGTTGTCCTGCAGCAACACAGATGGGTATGAAATTCTGGCCCTCTGGGCTAGCCTGGGCATAGGCAGAGAACTTACCTCTGTACTGAGAGTAGGTTCCAGCCTCGGCTTCCTCGTCATCTGGCTCCTCTCTGAACCGACGCTTCTGGTTTTTCTTCTGCAGAAGCAAGCGGCAGAAACCCTGCAGCTGGCTTGTCCTTACAGTTCTGCCTTTGCACACACCCCCAACCTCTTGCTTCCTCCCATGGGCACCCACAGACCTTCTAGACGGCACATCCCTATCCTAGACAACCTCCTGCACTCCTCCAAGCAGCTGATGCTTGCCTGGTGTCACCACTGGCCTCTCAGGCACAGCTGCAGCTGCCATGGCACAGGCAGTGGTTTGGCACAGCTGAGATCCCCCAGCATCTCCTCAGGACCACAAGCCCTGTACTCACACTGCGGAGACCCACATCTTGCAGCACATCTGCCATCTCCTCGTCTGCTCCTATGGTACAGGAAAAGAGAGTCAATGCAGGATATGGGCATCGACCTAGTACCTGGGACAGCCCCAGTACCATGCCAGCCCTTGGAGGGAGTTTCAATAGCAGGGTGCCGCTGCTGAATCAGTAACTGGTGGCTGTGTCCCCTCCAACCCCCTCCTGATGATGGAGGGGGCTGTCTCTCCTGGGCAATGGCCCAGAAGAGAGCCGCTGGGTGTGACACAAGGCTGTACCTACTCCTGTCACCTTCACCCATATGCCCCCAAAATCCCACATGCAAATGGCAGGAAGAAAACCATTCAGAAGTCTAGAACAAGTCTAGTGTGGCCCCTGAGAGCCCAGGCAGTACCTTTGGCTTCATCATCATCTATCTCCTCCTCCTCTTCATGGATGATCAGGCGTCCGTCCTCAGACATCTGGAAGTCGTGGCTCACTCCTCTGGATCGCTTTGGGCCTGGCTTGGTTGCTGCTCACAGAGAGGTGGGTCAGGGCCTGGGGAGGGACCCACTCCTGGGGGCAGCTGTACCCCCAGGTACCCTGTGCATCACATCAGCCCCCACCCCATCCATCCCCCCCATCCCCCCCATCAGAAGCTTCACTCCTTACCCAGCACCCGCTGGGACACGTTGGGGTCCAGGAAGTTGAGGGGCTCATCCTCTTCCCCTTCCTTCAACCAGGCCTGGCCCTTCTGCCGTGCTTGCTTCCTCCGTTCCTTATTCCGATGCCGTTCCTCCTCTTCCTCCTCCTCATCCTCCGAGTCAGCCAGGATCTCTTCCATGCTGTCAAAAGACAGAGAAGATGATGGCAACAGAACAAGCCTAGGGGTGCAGCCTGCCCCACAACACGCGGCAGCCTCAGAGATGTCTCCAGCACCTCTAGAGGCACCAGCTGAGCAGATCCAGCACCGAGCCCTCGGTGGGGGCTGCTCTTTCTTCACCCCCAGCCCATCTTCACCTGTCTCCTTTGGGCTGTGCTGGTGGTGCCTCCTCCTCATCCGTATCTGCAGCCGCCCGCTTAAGGGCACGCTGCTTGCGGTTCCGGGCTTCTGCCTTGCGGATGTTCACCAGCACCTTATGGTACTCAGATGGCAGCAGCCCCTTCACCAGCTCGAAGCTGAGGAGCACAGAGAGCAGTGAGCACCCACCTTCTCCCGCACCGCTTCCCAGAGAGCTTCCTCGCCACCCCAAGAGACGACAGCTTACCCGAACTTGCGGATGAACTTGATGAAGAGGTTTCGCAGCTTCATACGAAAGTGGCGCCTCATGTCATCTGAAAGGTTCCCCACGGCCTCCAGCTGCCAGGACAGAGACCCTCAAGACCCAAGCACCCTTGCATTGGGCACCCAACCTCCCACCCTTCACCTGCATGGCCACCTTGCTCACCCTGCTGCCATTGCCCCATGCCCTTTCCAGGCAGAGTCATGGGGAGGTCTCCCTGCTTGGCAGGGCTGGTTCACGGGAGTTCTCTGACATGTCCATGCCAGCATTCAGGAGAGAGACCTCCTCACTGCCATCTTAGCCACTGAGATCAAGATTGTTCCCTTGGCTCCCCGGCAGAAGCAAAGTGCAGCTGGAGATGCCCCCCAGATGCCCAGGGCAGCCCCAGCTCTGCCCTACCCCCCTTCTCAAGGCACCCCGTGTGGGATCTCACCATCGGCTGCACGTGCTTGGCCAGCAGCTTGGTGTCCACCAGCAGCAGCGTGACCTTGAGGAAGCCCAGGGCCGCCTTCACCACATCCCGCGTGCGGGAGGCCAGCAGCAGGCAGATGTTCTGCAGGAGCTGCTCCACCACACTGAACTCCAGGTGATCTGCAACCACAGTGAGACAGCCACAGCCAGCCTGCTTCCAGTACCTGCCTCTGCCAGAGTGCTCTGCCTCGCCCCCCCAGGCCCCCTGCTCACCTTTGAACTCGAAGAACAGGCGAGTCAATGCCAGCACGGTACAGCTGATCATGGTGACTGAGCCAGTGAGCCCCACGTAGATGAGGAGCAGGAATCGCTGCATGGCCTCTGCAAGAGGGGGATGACTCAAGCCCCGATTCGCTCTGTGACCAGCAGCATCCCTGGACCATTTCAGCAGGATGCTGGCCACAGGTCTGATATCCCTGGGGCCAGAGCAGCCGTGGGACTGAGCAAGTGGAACAGGATCTCACCTTCAGGGTTGGGTCCAAAGCGGATGAAGGCATGCCCCATCTCCACAAGCAGCATGAAGGCATTCTTGCGGGCCCCCACTGACACCTCCTTGGTGCACAGGATGACCTGGAGGCACACAGCATGTCACAGCACTACTGCCACCCCCACAGCCAGAAACAGCTGGGCGCTCCCCAGGACCATGCTTACCTCTGGGACCAGGGCAGTGACGAAAGGCTCGTGCTCTGCTGAAAGCTGCTTCACAATGTGGAACAGGCATTTCAGCCGAGGCTGGGGAAAGAAACAGCCCAGCACTGTTACATCAAGGGACACACACACAGCTACCCCTACCACCCACTCCATCCATCCCTCCCAGCAGAGGCTGATCTCCACCACTGCAGCCCTTGCTCTCACCCTCTTGGCTGGGGATGCTGCACTCTTGAGCGACTCCAGCAGTGCTGTCTGCAGGTCCTGCAGGTGGGAGCGGACAAAGGCCTGGCAGGGAGCGTGGGAAGCGGCGCACACCTCCTCCAGCACACGGTATGCCTTCTTCTGCACGCTGCGCTCTTTGCTCTGCAGGGACAACCAGCAAGCTCCCACTGCAAAGGCAGCCCCTCACCACAGTGACCCCTGCAGTACCCCACACCACTCAGCAGAAACTATGGCAGCTGTTCAGCCCCACAAAAGGGGGGCAAAGCTGGAACCAAGCAGAAGGTTCCCTACCACACCCCCTGCAACGGTCAGGGCTGGGGGCCAGCTAACCTGGAGGGAAGGCTGGATGGTGCGGTACAGGGAGTCCAGGGATTGCTCATCAGCATAGGGTGCCATTGCTACCACTAGATCCAGGATGGAGAGTCTACAGCAGACGAGAATACACAGGTGATTAACTCCAGCATCACTAATATTACCTGACCAATCATCAAATGGTTTAGGTTGGATACTAGAAAGAAGTTCTTTACAGAGAGAGAGAGTGATCAGGCATTGGAATGGCCTGCCCAGAGAGGTGGTGGATTCACCGTCCCTGGAGGTTTTTAAGACGAGGCTGGATGTGGCACTGAGTACCATGATCTAGGGATCAAGGGTTGGACTTGATCATCTCGGAGGTCTCTTCCAACCCAGTTAATTCTATGATTCTATGACAAGAGTGGCAAAGCCCACACAGGGCAGTGCCCTTGCTCTGCTCACCAGGAGCACATCTAAAGTTTTACCCTTAAGCATCAGCCCCCAGGCATTACCTGGCAAATTCAGAGCTCTCAGGACTGGTCAGCTTCACACTGGCTTTCTCCAGGAACCCACACACCATCTGCAGGGCAGGCACACAGAGCAGGATCAGAACTGACCAAAGGAAGTGCTTTTACAAGAGTTTGCAATCCACCTGGCAAACACCTTGCCCCAAGATTTTGTGGAGACAAGAAAACCCAGACCTCTGGCTGGAAAGGGCTCCCTCTCCACAATGGTAGGAAGGGCTGCTCTCTGCTCAGTGTCTTTCTCTCCTCTCCAATAAGCCACATCAGACTGGATTTGGCTGGAGATGCTGGCCTGAGCCAGCACAGCTTGGCCCCCTCACCTGGGGGTCGGTGATGGTCAGGTAAGCACGAACAGTGTCCAGCACGGAGCGGCGCTGAGCACTGCTGCCCCCGTCCTCCTCAGGCTGGCTGTACACATTGAACAGGATGGGCAGGAAATTCTTGGCAAAGCGACCCACTTCTGCCCGCTCTGCATCTAGGGAGAGGACAACAGGGAGGTACGGATCAGCGTGTCCCTTCCCTGGGTCACCGCAGGGGACAGGGACCAACCAGGAGGGTCCATCTCCCCCCAACCTGTCTCGCAGCCTTTGTGGATGAGGGTGCGCAAGGCCTGGCACACGGTGGGGCGGAGGTCTGGGCGCTCGCTGATGGCCATGCCCAGGGTGCGGGCCAGCCCCTTGAAGGCCCCCAGCACGTCTGTGGGGTGGGTGCAGAAGCCAGGCAGCAGAGTCCAAACCTGGAAGGCAAAAGAAAAGGTGGGAGACCAGCAGTCTTCACCAAATCACAGCTCCCCAGCCTGGCATGGGTACATCATAGCAGTACTCCTGTACACTCCTTGTTACCTGCCACTGCAGCGTGTCGTAGAGTTTGGCCTCCACAGTCTTCCCAGCCTGGGTAAACTCCTGGGCTACAGAACAGAAGGAGAGATGTGTAGAACAGTAGATGTTGCAAAGCCCTGCTCCACCCCAGGGAAGGGGAGGGAGATCCCACCGAACACCCTGGCCTGTTGGGTGTGCCACTCTGCTCACCTCTGTTTTTCAGGGCGGCTGCCAAGGGCAAGAAGTAGCTGGTGAAGAAGCCAAGCCGTGTTCCCTGCACATAGTCCCGCAGCACCGGCAGGAGCCAGCTGCGGGGGAAATCCAGCGTCTCCCTGGGGAGGGAAGGCATGGATCAGGGGAGCACAGGGCACTGCTGGCATCAGCCCCTGGACACAGGGCACTTCCACCCAGCCCCAAAGTTGGGCACAGGTAGGCTCGGCAGCCAAACACCTCCAGCACTATGTGAGGACAGGAATGTAACGAACAGCTGCAAAATTGCTACCCCATGACTATACTCACTCCCTGCCGTCAATCTCCAGGGGCACAGCTTCCAGCAGCACCTCAGGGCCCATGGTGCTCACAGCAGCCCCCACTGCCTGGTCCACTTCAGCGGTGTAGGGAAAGTGTGGGGAGAGACGCAGGTCACACAGGGACCGGAGACACTGCCGGGATAGGGCAGGACAGTCTCAGAACATGGGGCAGGTCTGGCACGTGTCACTCACTATGCCTGCCCAGGGATGCCAACTGCCCTGCACGTCCCCATGCTGAGTCCCAGAGCTGTGTACGCTCTGCCCACATATGGGCAGGACAGCAGGCACTAGCATGGCCCTGCTCCACAGCTGGAGAGGGCAACACAGCCTGGACAGCAGCGCAGCCACCCCACCCTCCCTCTGTGAATGAGTCTACGCTCTCCCAGACTGGCTCACCTTCCTCATGATGGGATGGCACTGCTTCCCACATGTCTCAAAGAAGATCTCCAGCACCCGCAGCACCTCATCCCACGCTGCATGAAAACGGTATGTCAGTCCTTCCTCCACTGATCTGAGGAGGAGAGAGGAGACAGTCATGCTGGTAGTGATCAGGGTGCCCACCAGGCCGGCCAGACCCCATGAGGGACCAGGCAGATACTGGTCAGAGCTCAGCCAGTCTCATGGGGACAGCCCCTCCCACACCACCACTCCTCACTTGAACATCTTGCACAAGTAGGCAGCAGGCACTGGGGCAGATGCAGAGACAGTGCCCAGGTCCTCCATGTGGGGCGCAATGCACTCACTCAGGAGGGTCTGCAAGGGCAAATGGAAAATGGGATAGCCGTGGACCATGGAGCCCTCAGCCTGGCAGACACAGAGGGGCACACCACTCCCTGGCAAACCCCAAACCCCTCAACAGAGCCCCCCACAAGGTATAGGGCAGCCAAATGAGCAGAGGTGCCTGCGAGTGGTACCTCCAGGGTCTGCGCCGCTGCCGACACCACCTGGGAGTGTGGGGAGAGGAAGCAGTTCATGGCAGCAGAGAAGAGCCGGGGCAGGTGAGCCCAGCACAGGTCCTTCTGCAGCCTGGAGAGGAGAGACAGGTCAGGTGAGAGACCAAGCAGCTGCCCCTCCCCCTGCCCAGCCACGGCCCCTGCCCGCACCTGCCCAGGTTGATGTGCGCCCGCTCCATGGTAGACAGCCAGGTCAGCAGCGGCTGCAGGTCACTTGTGCTGGGCACGTAGTCATAGAGGGCCTGGAGAAGTAGAAGATAGGGTGGGTGGCATGGCACTGCCAGTTCTGTTCCCCTTCACACTGGCACTCCACACTCACAGTGATGATCTGGGCGTTGAGCTCGGCTGGCAGGCAGGCCACGCTGGCCTGGGCACTGAAGAGGCTGTGGAAGGCTTGCATGGCACACGCTGTCACCAGCTGCAAAGGACACGATGTCAGGAGAAGGGCTCTGCTTTGCACCCACTGTCTCCCCACTCCAAAGCAGGCTCTGCCCTGGGAAACCCAACACTGCTGCAACTGTGACCCATGTACACAGCCTCTCTCTTCCACAGCAGTCAGGCCAGCAAGGACCAGCTGCCGTGGGCTCCTCCTTGTTTGCATCCTGCATTTTCACACTCCCAGTGGGCAGCCAAGGGAGTTTGATCCCTTCCAGACTGCAGCCCAAGAGGAAAGGGTCTGCTCTTGTTATCCTTGGAGCGGGAATACTCACCACATGGCTGAGGGTCATGACACGGAGCAAGGTCTCGCAGCAGGTCTTCACCATGGCTGCAGGAAAGCACGGCAGAATGTCCCGCAGCAGGGCAAGGATGTGCAGGGTAGTGGTGGCCTCCTTGGCACCTGTGTGAGCAGAGCAACCTCTGAGCCTGTGGCACCTCACAGCAAAGCCCCTGTAACAGCGCTGGGGTTGACATACAGAGCCAGGGTGAACACTCCCCTGACTCCTGAGAGCAGAAGAGCTGACAACTTAACAGCTGAGGACCCTTCAAAACATTTTAGGTGCCCCAGAGGTGTCTCACACTTTCCAGCAATCCAAGATGCTGCACCCTCCCCTATTCCCTTCAAGTCCTTATTCTACCACAGTGATAGAGTTCCCCAAACTCAGCTGCAGACCCCAAACTCCAGTGCCCCACACCTCCAGCTTTTTCAATCTCCTGCACACAGAACTTGGCAGTAGAGGGTGCCGCAGGGTGATTCTCAGGGGCTGCATTGCCAAACATGAACTCGCTGCCCCTCAGGACAGAGCACACACCGTACTGGGCTGCTTTTCGCACCTGGGGGAAGAAGAACCCAGGTGAGTAGAGGCTGCAGACCTGGGAGGCAGAGCCAGCCCCAGAAACATGATTCAAAAGTAGTGTCATCTTCTGCCAGGGCCACTGGGCTCTCACCTTGGGCTTAGTATGGACACAGAAACTCAGCAAGCCATGATAGACCTGGAGGGTGACAGGGTAGCTCCAGGCTGCCAGGTCCTGCTTCCGCAGCAGCGTGGCCAGGCAGGAGAGAACCTATGACAAGACAGCAGCAGAGGCATTAGCATCACCCCACAGAGAAACCCCTGCTCACTGCAAGGGCCTCGGGCTGAGCTCCCAGCACACTCTACAGCAGCAACCTTGACCCCAGCTCTCAGCAGACCTGGGCAGAGCTGACACAGCTGGCTGCCCCTTGGCTACTCACCCAGCGCAGGGCAGAGGTGGAGCTGCTGCAGGCCTGCGAGGACACAATACTCATGAAGGCTTTTGAGGCATCCGAGAACTTTTTAATAAGAACAGGGCTCGGGACCCTGCCAGAAGAAGGAGGCATGTCAGTGGGGTGAGGAGCAGACAGCTGGTGGCAGTCATCACATAGGAACCTGCATCACCAGCTTGCTCTGTTTGGGTCCTTTCCCCAGCCTGGGGAGGGTGGACAGCACCACTCCCTCTTCCAAGACGGGGTATGTAGCTCTCTCTGCTCCTCTGTCAGCCACTCACCGCTTTAGGACAAGGTTAAGTAGGTAGGCGACAGCAGACAGTGACTCGGGAGACTCCACTGCCTCCAGCGTGGTCATCTGGGAACAGAGGACGGGTAAGCAAGGGGGATTGAGGATTCACATCAGACTAACCCTTGGGAAGGGGGCAGAGAAACCAGGAGCAGCCCAACAGCATCTCTGCTGAAGAAAGACATTTGGGGCTTTGGCTACCAGCACAGAACCTTTCTCCACCAACCCTCCTGAGAGCCCACCCTCGTTGCCAACAGCAGCTCCCCCTGTGCCTCCTCCCCACAACCATCACTCACCAGTGCAGCAAAGTACTCGGTCTCACTCTCCTTTCCCCCCCGGGAGCGGATCACCTCTGTCACAGCTGCCAGCACGGCACAGATCTGTGAGAAGCCACAGCAGGTCAGTGCTCCTTGCCCTCATACCCGGGAGGGGCCACTCTTACCAGACACCCCCTTCCCCAAGCCCTGCTACCACCCCTACCTCTTTGTGAGCGGCGGAGTTGGACTCCCAGAAGCGCTGCACCTTGCTGAAGGTGGCGTTGGTGCAGTCGCTCAGCCCGCTCAGGAAGGTGCCAGAGGACTTCTCTGTGGCCACCTCCGCAGTGTCCTCCTCCTCCATGTGGAGCTGAGCGCTGTCACTTGCCCGCCCCAGGTGCAGGGACCCCGACTGCAGCTCATTGTGCAGTTTCACCGCGTCCACCGTCAAGTTGCTTTTCTCTGTGGGGGTGACACATGTCAGACCTGCGAGGTTGCTCCACACCCACCCTGAAACCCCCCACGCTCCCCTCCTCTCTCTTCTCAGACAGACTGGCTTGGCTGGAACTCATCTCCAGCATGTGGGACACCAGTGCTCCTGCACACCAAGGGGAGAGAAAGCGCAGTAACAACTAGAAAGAGCTCCTTGATTCTGTGAAAACAAACCAGAGCACAGTCCAGCCGCCTCCTGGGATGGTGTCTACACAAACATGTCCTGGTGTGCCAAGGCTTTAATGCTGAGGTGCTTCTTGTACTGTGCTCTACACATTTTCTACGCAGAGCCATGGCAACCAGACAAGCCTGACACACATTGCATACCCCTCTGAGTAGCAGCCAGCTGCAAGAGGGTAGTACGTGCTGCAAGACTTGTTTCTACACGTGCAAGAGAAAGATCTTGGCCAGCAGCAGCCAGAGCTCTCGCAATGCCTGACAGACTTTGGTATGCTTTCCACATCATGAACAGGAGTCACGTCACTCACCGCACCAGACGCCACAGCGGCACTTACAGGTGTGGCCAGGGGCTTTGGGGAGCCTCGTAGAGTGACAGGCTCTGCAGCACGCGGTGCCCCGTTCCGCTCCTCAGGCCCCGTGCCACGGTGACGGCACACTCATGTCCTCCTCCCCGGTTTACTGACTCCGCCTCCCCCGGGACTGTCAGCGCCCCTGGGCCCTCCAGTCCCCGCTCTGGCTCTCGGCGGACCCCATGCTCACATCGCAGCCGCCCCCCCCCGCGCTCCTGCACCCCGCCGGGGAGAGCCGGCTGGGAGAGAGGTGGGGAGCTCCTCGCCCCGGGGCCCTGTCGCCCCGTCCGCCCCTGTGCTCACCCGCGGGCCGGCTGAAGAAGCGGCTCCGGGCGGCCAGGCGGTGCTGGCGGGTCTCGGGGTTGCAGTCGCTGCTGTGGCCCTTCCGCCACCGCTTGAGCTTGGCCGCGGCCCCTGAGCGGAGCCGCCCGCTCCGCGCCATGCTGCTCCCGGCTCCACGTGCGCCCGCTCCCCCGCCCCTTCCGCTTCCGGCGCCTGCCGCCATCTTAACTGAGGGCAGCCCACAGGGCAAGCCGCCACCCAGCGGGGCGGGCATGGGGCGGTGACGGGGCAGCGATGGGAGACCCGTGGGGCGCGGGGATAACCGCGGGCAGGAGCCTGTAAGACCCCGCCGTGCCGGGACCGCACTCCTGTGGAACTGTCCCGAGTGCGCCCGGAGCCGCAGACGAGCGGCCGCCACGCGTTACGCTTTACCGAGCGTGCATTGCGTCACGGTGACGTCACGCCATGAAGGTCGCGCCGCCCTTCGCGGCCGCACCATGAGCTACGTGCGCCTCCACCCGGCGCCCGCTCTGCGCATGCGCTCCCCCCTGGCGGCGCCGCGCGGGGCGGGGCGGGGCAGCGCGGGGGCGTCATTCGCGCGTGGCAGCGGCGCGAGGAGCATCGCGCGCCGGTCCCTCAGCCCGCCATGGCCGGCGCATATCGGCTCGTCCTCGTCCGCCACGGCGAGAGCGCCTGGAACCTCGAGAACCGCTTCAGCGGATGGTACGATGCCGACCTCAGCCCCGCCGGACAGCAAGAGGCGCGGCGCGGCGGCGAAGCTCTCCGAGGTACCGGTGACCGGTGAAAGGAGGGGGGAAGGAGAGAGGGGGAGTCGGCCAAGGCGGGAGTTACGGAGGTGAGGGGTGTGGGGGAGTTGCAGGCTGGTGCGGCCGCCTCGAACCTAACGGGGCCGGGTTTGAGGCTCTCCGATGCCCGGGAATGGCCTTTGGTGCGGGGTCGGGGTTTCGGTACCGCGGGGAGAGCCGCAGGTGTGTGTTGGTTCTCCGGTACCCGTCGCGTCCTGACCACCACCGGTTCCAGTAAGAGCGAGGACGCGACCGGTATCGGTGCGGCGAGGACGCCGCCCTTGGCCTTTCACCGGTTGCGTAAGGCCCGGCACTCACCTCCCTGGTCTTCCCCACCCCCTTCCCCCATCTTCTTTAGATGCCGGCTACGAGTTCGACATTTGCTTCACCTCGGTGCAGAAACGGGCCATCCGTACCCTCTGGACCGTCCTGGATGCCATTGATCAGATGTGGTTACCCGTTATCCGGACCTGGCGCCTGAACGAGAGGCACTACGGGGCTCTGACGGGTTTGAACAAGGCTGAGACAGCGGCGAAGCATGGCGAGGCGCAGGTGAAGATCTGGAGGCGCTCCTATGACATTCCTCCGCCTCCCATGCAGTCTGACCACCCCTTCTACAGCACCATTGCAAAGGTAAGACCCATTGCTCTTTGTCCCTTGCAGGGAGCCTCCTAGAAGTCACTTGTATCGTGGTGGCCTGGCTTCCTCTATAGAGTCTTCTCTGTTTCTGCTCCAGTAGTCAGGGCTGTTGTGTGTGGTAATGGTTGGCTTTGGGCTGAGTTTATCCTGCTCCCTCCTTGGGGAGTGGAACACCTGGGCATTGCATGAACAGATCCAAAGCAGAGAAGATAATACCTCTGTTAATCATGAGTGCCGTGACCTATTCATGGATTTGTCATCTGGTCTCTTCATCCAGAGCCAGCAAGGTGTGACTTTCCCCATGAGGGGCCTCATGGCCCTGACTGTGGTTCATTATAAGCCTGGACATCAAAGGCTTCCTTGTTTCCAAGCCTAGCTTCACTTACATGTAGCAGGTCCTCAGATGGAGAATTTGGGGGAGGGACAAAAGCCTTGCCACCATCTTCTTGCCCTGGGCTGCTGTATGAGTGTGGCTGTTCTCCCAGGACCGTCGCTATGCTGACCTGACGGAGGACCAGCTGCCAACGTGTGAGAGCTTGAAGGACACCATTGCCCGGGCTCTGCCTTTCTGGAATGAGGAAATTGTCCCACAGATCAAAGAGGGCAAGCGAGTCCTTATTGCTGCCCACGGCAATAGCCTGCGTGGGATTGTCAAGCACCTGGAAGGTAGGTCAGCCCTGCAGGGACACCATGGGGATCTCCCTGCTCCCCCAGCTGGCACTGCAGGCAGGGCCAGGAATGACAGCACTGCTGTGTTCACAGGCATGTCAGAGGAGGCCATCATGGAGCTGAACTTGCCCACTGGCATCCCCATCGTCTACGAGCTGGACAAGAACCTGAAACCCGTCAAGCCCATGCAGTTCCTGGGGGATGAGGAGACGGTGCGCAAGGCCATGGAGGCTGTTGCTGCTCAGGGCAAGGTTAAGAAGTGAGGGCAGGCAGCAGGCCAGCACGTAGTAGAGTCCCCTGCCATCCCCAACCCCTCTGTTCACACCCCCCACAGTTGTAGGAACTTGGAGCTGCAGAGGATTAGGCCCATTCCCTCAGACTTGGCTCCCTTCTGCAGACAACCTGGGGGCCAGGGGTGAGGGCTGTGTGAGCGGAGGTCTGGTGTGAAAGGGAGCCCTGGCTCTGCCAGGAAGCGACCATACACTTCTCCATGCCGAGGTCCCAGCCTTCAGACCCCGTCTGCAGGGGGACAGGCCGAGTGATCCCTCGCCATACCAGGCTCCTCGTCTACTTTGCTTCCCCTGCAGCTCACGTCACCCGGTTACAGTAGTTTTGTCACTTGATTTAGTCCTCCTGGGAGCAGTGAGGCGAGTGCAGTGCAGGCAGTGACCAAGGTGGGTACCCCTGTCCCCTCGTGGGTGCATGGCACAGGGACTGGGATGCCACTGGAAGGGTTGTGTTCTGGTGCCTGTGGTACAGCACCCCAGGGCAGTACTCACGACTCTGGGCCCAGCTCTGCCAGCCCCTGCTTTAACTTATTGCCTTCAGACAAGGGTGAGGGAGGGAGCCTGTTGCCTGGAGGTTTGTGTCTGCCACATACTTCCCCCAGCTGATGTCCATCCTAGTCCTGCTGGTAAAGCAGGTGTTGTTGTGTCCCATCCCACACATGTACGTGGCCTGTTGCTGTGGCTCCCCTTCTGCCAGCGCTGTGAGCCTGGGCTTGCACAGTCAGTGTTATTGTCCAACCATAGCAGCTGTTTTGTTCCAGTTCAATAAAAGAGTAATGCGCAATAATGAGGTGTCCGTGCATCCCTGGGCCGGGTGAGGCTCCATGTTCCCGGTGCACGCATAAGGCACCAGTCGCTGGGGGGTGCAGATGGGGCTGCAGCAGCTGTGCCGGGCTCAGGGCTTGAGGAGCAAAGCACAGCTCTGCAATCCCTGCCTGAGGGTGACGCCCTGCCCTGTGGTGATTTTTCAAGCTCTGGGTGTGGCACACCCTCATCCCCAGAGCAGGGCAGGGCACGTGAGGCCTGGGGAGATGTGGCACTGTGGGATTATCCTGTGCTTAGACAGGCTGTGCTCCAGGCTCCAGTGGGGGGAAACCAACCTGGTGAGGCAAGTGCCTGGAGCCCGCACAGCGCAGCCACAAACGGGTTCTGTGCCGTTGGCCTCACTGCAGCAGAGGCACCGGGTCCTCCCCTTCCCCAGCAGTGAACACGTGCATGTTCCAGCTGCGGTTCTGCGGAAGCCGTTCCCTCTGCAGCTCCGCTGTGGGAGCCGAAGCAGTGTCAGCATGCTGCAGGCAGCACCAGCCACCCCCTGGGCTGTAATGAGCAAAGCACGGAGCTCTCAAAAAATATTTATTATCCAGAAGTAGAAAACCCATCCTGCCAGTGAGGGCCTGGCTGGACGTGTGGGAGCCCAGGGGCTGCTCTGGCCCCACAGGCATCAGTCCTGGCGGTGCTACGTCTGCAGGAACTGGGGCTGCACCCGGGCCACTTTACGGAACTCCTTGGTGTGTGTCCGTGGGCACTGCATTTCGCACCAGCTGATGGGCACCATCTGGACCCCTAGCAACACCATATGGTATGGGTTTCCCCAAAACTGCCTTCCTCATATGGAGAGGGAAGCAGCCACAGCAGACGCCCCTTGGGCAGGGAGGAGGCAGGACAGTTCCAGCCAAGGCCCTGCCTGTCCCTGTCCCATCCCTACCTGCTTCACTGCGTGCCACCACCACACCCAGCTCGTTCTCAGCCGTGCTCAGCAGGTAGTTGGACTGCGCGTCCCCCAGGGAGATCTGGTCAGACAGGGGTTAAGGGAAAGACTTTCCTGAGGGAGCTTGAGGCAGCCCACGGTCTTGAGGGGGAAGGATACGACTTTGGCCAGGACGATGTCACTGGGGCGAAAGCTCTTGTACACTTCTACCTGCATGGGAGAAAGCGGGGAACACCGCACAGCACAGGGCACTGTCAGCAGGAGGGACAGGAGCCCCCACCAGCAGAAAGCGGGGGCAGCTGCAGTAGAACAACCACTGTCAGTGCCTCACTGACCTTATCCTTCTCTGTGGCTCGGATATCTTCTCTCCTGAAAATGAGACGGAGGGATCTGAGTGCTAAAGAGCAAAGGTGCCTTGACAGCCCATGGCAGGAGCTGCCACAGCCTCCCTGGGCGCTCGCCAGGACCTGCTGGACATCTGCCCAGTGCTCAGGGCAGAGGTCCAGCCAGGACACTCAGTTGCACTGCCCTCAACAGCCTTTTTCCCCCCTGGAGAGTGGGGGAATCCCAGCCTTCTCCCTACCGTATGGTCCCCCGAAAGGTGGATTTCAGTGGCGTGGAGCCAACGTACAGGATGTGCACCTTGGCAAAGCGAGAGTTAATGCTGCAGACCTGTCCACGAGAAAAGGAGAAGTCAGTGCCAGCACCCCAGTCCAGGCAGGGAAAGGGCAGGGAGCAGGCAGGATAGGGCTGCATGGGGAGCTCAGGTGTCACTGCATCTCCCTGTGACCAAGCAGTGGTGGGACACCTGGCAGCGAGCTGCCCATGGAAGATACTTGGACAACTCCAGGCACTCAAATAAGGCAGAGACCTGCTGTGATCCCAGTCCCTCTCCCCCCCATCAGGAATGTAAGGAAACTAATCCCTGCTCTGTGCCAGCCTTTCTCTGAGCTGCCCCAGGCACTGACCTGCACATTCCCCGCCCCAGAAAGAGTTCTGGAAGAGAGAGCAAAGAAAAACCTCCACTCAACCCACTTCAACCTCAGGGCAGGCGTCCCCTATGCCAATATCAGATACTCTTTTTGTGAGCGAGGGACCCAAGGGAGCCCTGGGCTGCCCCTGCCCTGCTGGGAGTTGTATAGGCAGAACTAACGAGCCAAGGGCTCTTCATCCCACCTCATTCGTGTGCAGGAG